CTGGAGTAAGAGTAACTTAACAAGTAACATATGATTTATATTTTAGAAATGAATGTCAGTGGTTGGACAAATCCTAACATAATACTTGATGTGTAAAATCCCTCAGTCGTCCAGGTAGAATCCATGGCAAAAGGAGAAACTCAATTTATCAACTGGACAAAATAAACAAAAATATTTGACCAAATAAACTATTGTCCAGTCGACGAATTGAATTTCTCCTTTTGCCATAATACTTCCTAAAATTATAAATATAAATATTATTCAAGCAGGAGTACCTATGCTGCTCGAAAAAAGAACTCTAAAAAGTAAAATTTCTTTAAAAAGTTAAGTTACTCAAGTAAATATAAAGTAAATGTAACTGAGTACTACCCACCTCTGCTAATAAGCCTACCTAGGATGAGCAATATATCAGTATCTGTATTGGCCAGTATCAATACAAATTTGTCAATATCGGTATTGGCCGACATTCCAATACCAATATTTTTGGCATTGTCACATTCTCTGTGCCCTTTTTCAGCCGACAAAGTCCAAATGTAAATAGAGCGTTACATGGCAGTATGTTTACATAAACCCCAGATAAATACACACTATTTCTACAAAAGCGAAAAGCTGATTTGTAATCTTAACTTAACTTAAGGTAAATGTGTGGTCCTTGCTGGATTTTAAATGCTAAATGTCTCAGCAAATATCGGTTATCTGTAGCAGGTCAAATATAGGATATCGGATAAAAATCCATATGAGCCTATCCCTACTTCCAAGTGTTTTTATTATTGAAAAACATAAGAAACGAAAAAATCTATTCTGTCAACTGGTAGAACGGCTGGTTGACACTGCCTTATACTTACTTGTTTACAGTTTGTTTGGTAGTGAGGTCTATTGAACTAAACCAAATGTAAACTGTCATATTTCATATTTTGCATACTCGTTCAGAGCCCTGATGGATGCTCTCAGCCCTACTACCATACTGTCTATCACTATTGTTTTAGTATCAATAAGCTACTTGTTCAAATGAGTATCTAGTAACTAAATACTCATTTGAACAAGTAGCTTATTGATACTAAAACTATTGAAACTAGATTCTAGTTTCAATAGGCCCTATTCACAAAGCCTCCTAGCTAGTTCCGCTTCTATCAAAAACTGCAGATTTGCACTTCCAACACCAATCTATATTTACCATATTTTTTGGACTATAAATCGCTCTGGAGTATAAGTCGCACCAACCAAAAAAAGTGTAATGACGAAAAAAAAAAACATATATAAGTTGTATTTTTTGGGGGAAATTTATTTTATAAAATCAGAGACCAAGAACCGATTGCTTCTGTACCAATGTCACTTCGCAGTCTACTGCACATGTCTCCTGCAGCAAGTAGTGAAATATGCAGCAGAAAGAAAGGTTGGAGTGAGCAAGAAACTTCTAACAGCTGGGAGAGTGCGGCATGCAACTTTCCTGGAAGTCATTGGATGGACTTGACACTGAGACACTGAAACCATCCTGTTGGGATTCAGAAAGGCCAGAATAATTCTAACTGAACTGATGCTGAGTCTGACGACAGCTACACAGAAGAGGAAGCGGCGCTCTGTTTACATCCAGAGGTCGCCGAGTTGCTCAGAAGTGACACCGAGGATGAAGAATTGAATAGATTTAGTGATTTGGAGAGAGATGGAGAGTTTGGTAAACTTGTTCTGTTCTGTTGTTTATGCTATAGTTATCTGAAGAACTGTTTAAATGTGACGTTTACATACCAGACACCTGTTCAGTCTGTTGTTCTCTGTTCTGTTGTTATTACTTTAACTTGCCTTTCAAGATGAAATGTTGGTTCTTGGTCTCTGATTTTATAAAATAAATTTCCCCCCAAAAGTGTGACTTATAGTCCAGTGCAATTTATATATGTTTTTTTCTTCTTCATTGCGCATTTTTGGACTGGTGAGATTTATAGTCCAAAAAATACAGTAAATACTAAACAGGACAGCAGGTTATACATGGATAATCACAGACAGTGTGTTAAGACCTTTACGATAATCTATATACTTCACTGGAGGAAGCTTCTGTGTGTATAAAAGTACGGGTTTGTGTCTAAAAGCTAATGCTAGTGCTAAACTAATCTAAATCTCAAAATAGAATACAAAACAACTTTATGAAAATACATCTAATGACAAAGTCAGTTGTTTTTCATTGAGATCGTAGTGCTATTTTAACATCACTCATTTGTTTTAGTTTAGCTTCAAGACACAAAGACCTACTTTTCTAAACACAGAAGCTTCCTCTGGTGAAGTGTTTACATCGTGGCACTTCGTACAAACCGTCTGATATCACAGTGTTAGAATTTGTTCGCGCTATGGTAGGCAGGTCCTTTTTATCATTTAACCAGTCACTGCTATTTGGTAGTCATGCATGTAATGTGCCGCTAACAGGGTTAACTGGTATATTAAGCTTTTCCCAAATCCCGTAGGAAGAAGGACAATAACGTCTTTCCCCTTGATAAAATTCACCGAACATTCTCTTTATTCCGGCTTTAAATCCTCGAACCTGGGAATCATTGACAACACTGACTATATGGCTCTTCGCTGATTGGCTGGTGCCCGAACTTACACTTATGGAGTTTTTGCAAACTGTTTTGTGTATTTTATTTCCTGACCTAGTTGCTGGAGAGAAATGAAATTGAGCGGAGGCACTAAGTGGCCCCAGACTACTAGTTTTAGTATCGATTAGTTTCTAATTTTCCATATGCTTTACAACCCTAGTATTTAAATTGTTGTAATCATAAGTATTCATTTGTCTTACAGCTGAGTCAACCAGCCATCATCAATGCATATGTGGAGCCAGCCCCCCTGCCCACCACCTCCACCCCCCCTCTGCACGCGGACATGTGCACTGTGAGCGGCTGGGGCGTCACCTCACTGTACAACCCACAACTGTCTGATAACCTGAGGGCTGTGGACGTCCAGCTCTACCCCTCTTGTGACTACTTCTACTGGGGCAGGGTCAACTCAAACATGCTCTGTGCTGGGCACCGCTTTGGAGGGAGGGACGCATGCCAGGTATACTTGTACTGCAACTACTACTGGAGCCACGACTAATACAACTACTCTAATATACTAGACTGAAACTACCACTACAACTACTGCTGCTGCTAATACTCAGGGGAATAGATGGGGGGACAAAGTGGTCTATTGTCCCGGGCCCTGGTGTTTTAAGGGCCCAGAACTGGACCCTCTTACTATTAGTTTATATTAGAGGGGGGCCCATGTGAGACTTATTGTCCCCCAAATTTCTGTTTATGGGCCTGCTGATACTACTACTACTACTATTATTGCTGCTACCAACACTACTATTGCTAGTACTACTACTACTATTATTGCTATTGCAACTACCACTTGTTTAAATGTTCAGAATGTGGTCAGACTGTAGTGGACTGAGGCTATGTTCAGACTGCAGCCTGAAGTGACCCAAATCCGATTTTTTGGCCCCTATGTTCCTGTATCTGATCTTTTAATGACAGTCTGAACAACACAGATCCAATTTTTTCAAATGTGACCCAGGACACTTGGATATGTGCTCCTAAAACCGATACATATCTGATCTTTTGACATGCGACTTCAGTCTGAACGGCCAAGGCACATTCATCTGACCTACACGTTATCGCACGGTGGACTTGGCTATGCCAAAGAGGTCGGCTGTTGCGCAGTAACAAGCACCTGTTTCAAGCCAATACAGCCCAATGCCGACGCGTTTGCTCACGGAAATAAGCCACCAAAGATGTGCTTCCTCCCACGAGAGTGGCACAAGTAGGCGCTCACAAATGTACACAAACGTTATTCTCGTCGTACGAAAATTGTTAGTGAACTCCGTGTCACTGAGGTGAAGCACATCGCTATCCCACCACTCTTCGCTACGTTATTTATTTATTTATTTATTTCGGTCACAGGTATATTTTGACATTAATTAATTAATTAATTAAATAATTACGTCTCCACATCCACATGTTCCTTTCAACGGACTGTCCCACAAAACACCACGGCCAAAAACCTCGTCCTTCTCCTTCTCAATCTCCTCCTTAAAACAAGTAAGTTGTTCATGTTCTGGCTCCGCTACAAGAGGAACTTTAAAATCGTCAGGTGCTCAGTGCTGCATCCACGTTTGGACAACTTCCGTAAACACAGAGCACGCTCGCTGTGGTTGACGTCGTCGTGTCCTCCAGTGTGTATGAGGGACATTTTTGGGCCGTTTAATGTTCACACTGGAGTCACATACAAGTTACATTTAATTGGAAATGTGAACGACCTCGCAAAAACATCGGATTTCACAAAAAAAATCCAAATTGAGCATTAAGCCCTGCAGTCTGAACGTAGCCTGAGCGAGTGTCATCACCCATAGAGTTTGGCTCCAGTCAAATGAAGCTTATGGTTATGGGGCGAATTAGGAATAGGATTGTTTTAACAGACAAAATAACACAGAGAAAAATCCCGCACACCATCTTACTTGCAAATTGTGAGATTTGTGTTTGCCTGACAAAGGCCTAGTGCCGAAACGTTGCACGGCTTGTCCTAATAAATCTCACACTTTGCAAGTAAGACGGTGTGCGGGATTTTTCTCTATGTTCTTGGGCTGCTCCCTCTCCTCCAAAGCACCCGTCTCAAGTAATTGATGTGTGAAGTTCTCATTCTTTTATAACAGACAAAATAACAAAATAAAAACACCAGGATCATGTAAAGTGAGTTAATATGAACATTTTAAGACCAAAATGACAAGGCTCCCAGCATTGGAATATTTACACCTCTCTCAGTGGGAGCCAGGGTTAGTAGGAGGTGGAAGTGCCCACATGTGAAAATGTGCTGTTTAAAGCCATTTTGTATTTTTTGTATAGTTTTTTTTTTGGTGTGAGTCGTGTCACCATGGTAAGTGCTGAAAATTCTGTTAACAGTGATGCATCTAGAACACCCCTAGCAAAGTATCAATTTGAGAACAGTAGTGGTCACAATGGTGAAAAATTCAGTCTTACCGTTTTGTCCTTTTGGTTTCCAGGGAGACTCCGGGGGACCTCTGGTGTGTAATGGATACCTGGAGGGCATTGTGTCCTGGGGCATCAGCTGTGCCAACCCCTATTTCCCTGGAGTCTACACAAAAGTGAGAAACTATGTCGGCTGGATTTACTGGGTGATGGTGAACGATATATAAATCTGTTTTCAATCATTAGACTGATGAAGAAATCAAAATGATGAAAAGTTAGAACAGCTGCCATAGCTATTAGCAAATCAAAGCAAAATAAAAGTCTTCTGAATGGTCAAAAGTCCTCAAATACAAGTTAAAGTTAATTAACAAGTTGTGTTGATGGTTGTAATTATTATATTTATGAAACGTGACAAAGCCATAGGATCGCTTGTGTACTCTGAAATATTATAAAAAATATATAACTGATTGTTTCCTCTTAAATAAAATAATATATGATTAACTAAATGTGGTTTGTCTGAGTAAGAAGATCAAACATCATGAGCCCTTGGATTTAAAAACTGTCAACAGAAAATTCCTATTTTAAATAAGATAAGAGCCCCTGAGTTCTTCATTAACTCTAAACTACAAAAAAAAAACATAAAAAATATACAGAAATAGGCCTATGTCTCACTATCAGTGGTGGAATGTAATAAAGTACAAAAATAAAAGAACAATACTTAAGTACAATGTTTTGGTATCTGTACTTTACTAAAGAACATTTTACAGTGGATACTTTTTTACTTTTACGTCACTACATTTGAGAGCATGTATCTGTACTTTCTTTCTACTCCACTACGTTTTACATCTGGACTGAAAAGTAAAAAGTACTTTTCTTTATGATCTTAGACTTGCTGAAATGACTAAGACTTATTTTTAGTACATTTAGCTTGACCTAATATTCCAACTTTGAGTAAATCAAACACACAATTCTTTAAAATAAGTTTTTAGTGCTGTGCCAAATGATTGGAGGAAATGCTCAAATACTGAAGTTTGGACAACCCTGCGTGGAGATGTGTAAATATAAAGGCACAGCAACCCCATCTGATAGTAGATTGAAGACAAATGCGTGACACAAAAGCAGGAATGACTTTGCAAAGCTCCCTAAGTAAGACGGCCACAGTGTATCCTCCGCACAGCAAGTCCTCACGGGAGCTGGAATGGTAGTGTATTCTTATATTCCCGCAGTAGAGGTTTGAAACTCTGACTCTACTAGTACTCCACAATTTTGTCTCTTAAAAGATGCTCTATGTGACTTTTCTGGTGGAGGGTCTGATATCTGCTTGACTCATGATGATGTCATAGTTTTGCTTGAGATGTTCCACAGTATGGCAAATATATTTTGTATTTATTAATTTGAAGGTGTTTTTATTTCTCAAAACTACCTACATGAATTTCTTCTCCACACTTCTCCACAGATCTGACCTGTAACTTGGCCTGGTTGTCTCCACAGAGATAGTTCCAGAAAAGTACAGAAATTTTGTCTGGTCTATGAACTACAAAAAGACATAAACATCAGAAAATACCACAATATAGGCCCCTGCAAATGGTTCACATTCAGAATATCAAATATGTTACATCATTAGCGGATACCTACGTTTAGCTGACTAAAAGCGGTAAAATTGGTGCAACTAAATGACATTGTATTTAATCCTGTATCTGTAGAATGATAGAGGCCGCTGTATGGATGAAGGCTGATTTTAACTGGACTTTTTTTATTTCACACATTTTCTCATTCTTCCATCTGTTACGTTGTCTTATGTTATTCTGGCTATTTCTCTGTCCTTATGTAAACACCTTCAACATGTTATTGTTGCGCCACGAGGGGGTGCCATTGTAGGGCAATGGCGGGCAGTAGTCATATTAAACTCGTTTAAAACGTTTTAAACTCGTTTTAAACGTTTCTTTTTGAGTTTTAGAGCCTTTTCTACTTCAGTAATTTTCTACCAAGAATATAAATAGGTTATGTGGTCTACTGAAAACGTAAATATGAACGAAAAGTATCATACCTTCTTTTTTGGTGCCGTCGGTGCTCTGGCGACCCATGACCGTATGACCCGTGTGCGCATGCTCCGTAGCAGAAGTTCGCTGTGTCCTCGTTTGTAAACATCGCAGCTCTGTTGGTGGGTCGTGGGCTCAAACCTGCGGCTTTCCTAACCAACAATGTCGGTGAAACACGCGCTTAGCCGCGGCCTGGAGCTGGGCCGGTCCTTCTTGCAGATGGGGCTGCTTAAATCTGGCGGACGTGTCGCAGCGAAGCTCCGAGCTGACCGCTTCCGCGGGACTGCAGGCCCCTCGGTGCGCTGCGCTCAGCCTCAGGCTTTCCTGCCGCATCGGTACCGCTATTATCGCACCTCTCTGCGGGGCCTGGCCGCACAGCTCCAGGCCGCCGGCTTCAGGAGGTTCGGCGGGGGGTCTGCCCGAAACAGAGCCGTGTTCCTCGCGTTTGGACTCGGCGTGGGGCTGATCGAACAACAGCTGGAGGAGGACAGGAAGAGTGCAGCCACCTGTCAGGAGATCCAGGTAATAATGCTAATGCTAACAACATCAACATCAGGGCCATAGTCCAAACAGTCTAGGATCTGAGTTAAACAGCATGATCTGCCGTAGTTTACCCTGCAAAAAGGACACTGTAAAATGCATTGGAACGATGATTTTCAACTATTATTAATAGATTATAGTTGAAAATAGTTAATGGACAGTGCAAGTGACCGTCCCCCTAAATGTTTTTGTCATCTTGATATTGAGGTAACACAATTTCTGTATTACATGTAATGTACTCCTGTAACTCCTGTAATACTGACCACCTTATTATTATTATTATTAATTTTACTTAAGATGTCACTTTTGTTTTTCGTAATAATTCTGGTTATATGACTTTTAGTTTTATATGATATTTTCCTAATATTATTTCCACTGTATTTCCCAGGCTGTATTCCGAAAGAAACGATTTGAGCCTCCATTAAAACCTCTGAACCTCTCTGGGTACAAACTGGATGATTACCTCATTGGAAATCAGATCGGAAAAGGCTCAAATGCTGCGGTGTATGAGGCGGCTGCACGCTTCGCCCCTCTCAATCCGACTAACCCCACAAAGACCCCTCTGGTGGAGCTGAAAGAAGAGGAGGAAAAACATGGCCACCGCTCCATAACCTGCTGCTCTCTGAGAAACTTTCCTTTGGCCATTAAAATGATGTGGAACTTTGGGGTAATGTTGTCACTTAAAAAACAGCTCTGATACTCAGTACTGATTCAGATACCATGATAATAATTTCTTTAGACAATAGAGTGTCATTTTCAACATTAAATCATAGTATTTTCTTTTATATTTCCATGTGTACTTATATCTGTGTAATTCCTCAGTCGTCCAGGTAGGTTCCATAGTGGTTCATGGGCTACTTAATTAAACTTGTTTTGATACAGCTCAAGGTTATTCTAAAGCTATTTAAGAAAGGTTCATTTCTGTCCTGTGAAACTTTTTTAGTATTGATACTTGCTCAATTTAGTATCTAGTTTTGATTCTACTTTAATATTGACTTCTGGGTTGCGCTAATTTAGACAACTCTATATCTTTGTAGCAGTACTTTTTTTTATGTTTTAAGGACATGGACATACCTAATATTCTCAATAATATATTTATTACTACTAATATTTTTGTCGTGCCACTTAGCAACCGTTTAGCATTTAGTCTAATATTTTAATTTGGCACACAATTTTTCAAACTCCTATTAACTTTTGTGATATAGGTTACATGTATTTTGACCACTTCTAACTTCATGCTGATACAATAAGTATATACGTGTGCATTTTGTGTTGTAGGCCGGTTCGTCAAGTGAAGCTATTTTGAAGTCCATGTCTCAGGAGCTGGTGCCTGCTGTGCCGATGGCTGTGAAGCAGGAGATAGAGCACTTAAGCCTAGAAGGGTAAGTCACACGCACATTTTCATGTATTGTTTATGCTGGTGTGAGTGGTTATTAGATGGATTGGGACATGGATGGATGGAGCAATGTTGACAATGCGTTTCCTAGTAATTTTTGTGTCTCAGTCTAAAGTCTCACTCAGTGCCTCAGTATAGGTTCCGTTTTCGCTTAACGGAAGACGTTTGGAAACATGCGGATGACGAATTCCAGTGTAGTTCCCGACACTGAGCCACTGAGCATGTGATACAACCATGGATTCAGCTGCAGCGATCTTCACAACCTGCCAAAGCTTTTCACGGGACTGTAATCGTATCTTCAATGTCACTTACAGGCAGCTGCTTGTTACTGTTGATCTGCCAAATATAAAAGAATGCTCAAATGACTTATTTTTAAAAATTAATATTATCAAGCTAGACAAATTATAATACACAAATTAATTAGCAATTTATAAAAGGAAAAAGAAAGTCTACAATGAAACTTAGATGAAGAAACCTGGGATGTTTTCTCAGACTTGGTATCTCCAGCAGAGCCCAAAGGAAGTCGTCATCCACATGTTTCCAAACGTCTTCCGGTTTTGCGACGTCAGCTTGAATAGAGCCCATTAGAGTTGTGACAATCCTAAAATTTCAAACTCTATTTCAATATTATGGAGTAGGCCTAATACTCAATACAGATTCCAACTACACAATGATGAATGAATGAAAACACTCTTTACTTTGTCAATAGACTGATTTTCAACATTAAATCAGAGCACTTACATCAGGGGTCTCAGACTCGCGGCCCGGGGGCAAATTGCGGCTCTCAGAAGGATTTTTTGCGACCCTCCACTTAATTCCAAAGAATAATGTCAGTGCGGCCCGCGGTAGATGTACACACAATCCCACCCCTCTAACGCAGGTCGCACTGACAGATGAAGCTGCAGTCGCTGCCCATACAGATTCACAACAACAGATTATTAACGCAGTTTACATCCCAAAACTCAACTTACAGCAGTTGTGAAGCAACGAGTCTAAGTGGATCTGTTAATACAAGTACACGTGCACATACGGCGTCACCGAAGAACCAAAACAAACCACACATGGTGGTACACGTGTGCGCACTTCACTTTACGCTCCCACAACCACAGTATCAAAGCGCAGAGGAGGCGCTGACAGAATTCCCCTGTTCATAAGTATGGGACCTTTATTGGAGGGGCTAATAAGAAATAAAAAGACTTTGACAGTCTGTTTACCTGCTCAACACTCGGTGCGTAACTTGCTGGCAACCCGATGACCAAGCTCCACCTGTGCGTCGCCAAACACAGCTGTCCCTTCAATATGCAAGCACCACAAAACTGCAGTGATCTATTCCAGAGGCTTGGCGACATGTTAGAAAAAACTACGAGGCAAAAACAAGCGTCTTCCATCCATGTTTGACATACGAGAAGCAGATACACTCCAGTGTGGTCCACTTTCACACCGGCAAACGAACCAAAACTGGTCCGATTAACGAGCCTCTGTATCCCGGTAGAACAGTGATACCTCCAGTAACCAATACTGATGTTCCCTGTTAATACCGCGGGCCGTCCTCATCTTATCACCATGAACTCATAAAACAGCAGCATGTAGAACTTTGTACAAACTCACCGCATCAGCCCAGAGTTCGGGTAACAGTAGCAACCAGCAGCACTCACCGTAGCGCGCAGCTCCTCAGGACGGCGCTGGGGTCTGGTCCTTGGTCAATGACTGGGTCTGAGCAGGTATGTTCCGCCGTCTGCGCGCTGGTTCCTTGTGGGGAAAGCGAGAATGCGCTGTGGACTACAGGTCTGTGCAGGCTGCTCCGGTTCTCCGAGCTCAAGAACCGCGGCTGGTTCCGAGGTGGTGCAAAGCATCTGGACAGAAGCGTGAATCCAGTTTAGTTGGTGTCCGCATTTGGTTCTTCCCGGGGAAAGCGCTTTTCACTCCCCGCTCCACGTCATCTGAGCCCGGACAGAACCGGAGCTGCTCCTGCTGGTTCGGGACTCTGGTTTGGATCTAGTCCGACTGTATTTCTCACACTAGGCTAAAAGCAGGACATTTTTTAAAGGTGAATCAATTGAATGGGCGATTGCCTATTGCCATGAAATGATTTGGTTAATTAAAGCCTAAAATAACAAATGCTGGTTCCTACATGATCACGGGGAACACCGGGACCTTTCTGTGTAGGTCCTGAACAGAAGTACACACCCCCAATTTTGACTCACTCTGGAGCCACACGTTCGCACATTGGTTCTTGCTCTGATCTTCGTGTGTTAGATTCTCTGTATTGGCCATTGTTGGTAAAATAATTCGAAAATCAGTCGCAGCTGTGTGTGGACAACAATCTGTTACTGCGCTGGAGTCGTACAGCGCGTCTTTTCAGGCAGAGAAGACGCGTTTCTCCCATGATGCATTTCGAATAGTTCGTTTGGACCTGCTGTCTGTGGTTTGGACCCGGGTTCGCGTTCACACCAGTGTGAAAGTGTGTGAAAGCACCATCAAACTACAGGTCATGGCTCACTGATGAGCATCTTCAATCTATCCTGAGGATCTCATATGCTTCCTCCTGCAAGCCAAATATCTCTCAGCTGTGCAAGATGAAGCGTAGCCAGGTTTCAACCAGCAAGGAGTAGGCAAAAGAAGAAGAGTAGACGTATTAGTTTAAACTTACATTCTAAATACATTTTCATGTTCTGAACTGTTATTAAAGATTAAGAAAGTGTGTTGCGTGTTGTTCTTTCTCTCTCTTTTTTCCCGTGCAACCGCTATTTATCGAATACTCAATGCGGCCCAGCCTCACTCAGACTTTATCTAATGTGGCCCCAGGTAATTTGAGTTTGAGACCCCTGACTTACATGTTTAATCCCTCAGTGGACCAGGTAGTCTCCATAGTGGTCCATGAGCATAAAAACTAGACTATGTGTTGTTACCTCCGCTAAGGAGGTTATGTTTTTGCCGGCATTTGTCTGTTTGTTTGTTTGTTTGTCTGTTAGCAACATAACTCAAAAAGTTATGGACCGATTTTGATGAAATTTTCAGGATTTGTTGGAAATGTGAAAAGGAAGAACTGATTTCATTTTGGGGGTGATCCGGATGAAATCCTGGATTCTGGATCACTTTGAAATTTTAGTTAACATTGTGGTAAATGGGGCCAAAAATTTAGTTTCTCAATATTTTGGTTAATTATTGACCAAACCCCATGATATTTGACTCAGGGATGGACAATGGGATCCTCTTTCATATTCCAAATTGAAAGATACGAGACAAATATTTATGGAAAACACAATTAATATGAGGGGGACTGTAGTCCTTGGCGGAGTCTGCGCTCTCTGAGTGCTTTTCTAGTTATACTTGTTCTGATACAGCTCAAGATCATTCTAAGGCTTTTCAGGAAAGGTTCAGTTTTGCCCTGTGAATGTGACTTTTTAGTATCGATACCTGCCAAAATGAGTATTTAATTTCAATTATAGGTTTAATAACGATTAGTATATGATTTTCAGTACAATTCAATACATTTTGACAACCCTGCTCTGTAAATTTAGTTTTTAAATGATTATTATTGATATAGGTAACATTATGGTTTTATGATTAAGCAAATTTAAGTATCAGTTCAGAATATGTAGACAAGGCCAGACATGGCTTCAACCCGGTACTTGTAGGATGTCCAAATGTGTGAGAGATGCAAGTTTTTAATGTTATGAAAGAAAAAAAACAATTACTCTCGAGCCTGATTCACAGGCAAGTAATATATTATTTGTTTGTTTTAGACAATTTGGAGTGGTACCCAGAAGAGTGACAGCGCACCCTAATGTGATCCGGGTGTACCGCGCCTTCACTGCAGATGTGCCTCTGCTGCCTGGAGCTCAGGAGGAGTATCCTGCTGTTCTGCCCACCAGGCTCAACCCACACGGCCTCGGCAACAACCGCACGCTCTTTCTTGTCATGAAGAAGTAAGATATACTCGTACATATTGAGTTTGTCTCTGTTCTTTAGTCATGCAAAGTTTTTTTTTTAATCTTTCTTGTGTTATCATATGCAATTGCCACGTCAAGGACAACTGATATTCTCTTGGAATGGACCATGTCAAATTGTATTGAAAATGTCCTAATTATCGCCCCGTAAACAAAAAAACTTTACTTGAATTCATTCACATGTCTAGCATATGGTACAAAAGGGTTCAAAGGTAGTTGTAAGGACAGTTGTCAATTTGAAAGCACTGATCTGAGGAATTGATACTGCTCTGGAGGAAAGGAACCTAGATTAGTGCTCATGTGAAAGCTCAGAACCTCCAGAAACCTCCAGTGAAAATTCAGATCAGAGTGTCCTTAGTTTTAACCAACTGGATTTAGTTTTAGGAACTTGCAACCCAGATGAGAGACTCATGAGGCTGACTCTGCTTTCTGATTGGATAATCAGTTCGAGAATCAGAAATACAAAATTTGATTTGAACACGTTTATCTCATATTGCTGGGTTTCAGATGACATCACAGCTTTCTATAGGACATTATTAATTAATATTGAAGACTATATCAAGTAATAAAGTATCGTGCGTATATTAAATACTGAAATTATATGTTTGTTTGAATATTACATGCTTAACCACTGAAATCTGATATATGTTTAAAGGTACCACTGTGTGAAAACATATATGTTTTTAAGATAATCCCTTTGCAGACATGAAGGTTGTGTACTTTTAAGGAAATTCTTTACAGAGCAGCTGAAGTGGGGTCATCTTGATGGGGAGTCAGCTAAAATTAAAATAGTTTGAATGCAAAATTATGTTGTAATACAGTGAGTTCTTAGCCTGATTCATCAGCCGTTTTCACTTCGTAGAAACCATCTGACCTCACAGTGTTAGAATTTGTTCACTTGACAGGAGGCAGGTACTTTTTATCATTTAACCAATTGCTGCTATTTGGTTGTCACGTATGTAATGTGCCACTTACAGGAATAACTGGTATATTAAGATTTTCCCAAATCCTGTAGGAAGAAGGACGGTAACGTCTTTCCCCTTGATAAAATTCACCAAACATTCTCTTTGTTCCGTCTTTAAATTCTCGATCTCAGGAATCATTGGCAACACTGAATATAGGACTCTTTGCTGATTGGCTGGTTCCCAAACTTGCACTTCTGGGGTTCTTGCAAACCGTCTAGTGTATTTTGACCACCTAGTGCCAGTTTAGTCACTAACTGAAAGAACCATTTTCAACATTTATGAATTTACCTTTTGGATATTTCATGGCAAAGTACAAGGTATAGGGAAATCTGTCTCTTGTCCCCCATTTGGAAATGTGACATTATTATATTCTAGAATCTGAAAACCACCAATATGGGGACACAGATAGGTCATGTTGTTTGGATGTGGGGGGCTTCTTTATTTTGAACAAGTGTGTGTTTCTTGCTGCAGTTACCCGTTCACCCTGAGGCAGTACTTGGAGGTGTGTACTCCCAGCCGCAGACACAGCTCTCTGATGCTTCTCCAGCTGCTCGAGGGAGTGGACCATCTGTGCAGACAGGGAGTGGCTCACCGCGACCTCAAGACTGACAATGTCCTGCTCGAGTTTGACTCTGGTAAACATAAGCTCTACAGTGTGCAGATATGTAGTAAATGAGTACAAAAATATGAATCAATACAAAAATCTATTATCAAAAAAGGATCACACTGCAATTGTTGTTTGGAGTTATGCAAAATTGGAACATTAAGTATGCTCAGTCTAAATAAAGCTGTTTTAAGGATGCAAAAAGAGCTGTTTAAAAATGTGAAGAGTTGTTTTTCAAGTAAGTAAGCAAGTCTTTTTTATATATTTGTGATCATGGAAAATCAAATGTCTGTCAGTATCATCAGGAAGATTTGTAAAAATGCACTGTTTTGATGTAGCTTGTTGAACTACATAGTCCATAATCCTACTCGACTCCCCTTAGAAGGAAAATGTTGTTTAGGAAAGATTTCAAAATACAGTGGCCCTTAATGTTGCAAAATATTGTGGTGACTTTTGTATTGTGAGGTGATGAAGCCAATTTTGTTAGGGTTAATTACATCATTTGTTTATACTTACAGATGGTTGTCCAAGATTGGTGATCTCTGACTTTGGATGCTGTCTGACCCAGAGAGACACAAGTCTAGAGCTGCCCTTCAACAGTATGTGGGTGAACAGAGGAGGGAACGCATCACTTATGGCACCAGAGGTATGCAGTACTTCTACTACTACTAGGATAACTAACCCTAAGCAAAGAACTCTGAAATCTCTATTGTAATGATCAGAATAACTGAATTTATTTGGATAATATAATGGTCTACCAACCCAAAGGCTGTTTGAATCTTGCAAGACTGGACACAAGACACCTTGCCTGTATTCTAGTGCAGTGTGTAACTGAGCTTTAGGCGTATAGGTGGTTAAGGGGCCCAGTGCAACAGATTGGCCGTCTACAACACTATCTTACCACCACCAGATGTTGAGTGATTGAACAATGCTTGCAAATACATTGTAAAGTGCATGATGGAAAAGCTCTATATAACACTACAATAATGTGTTGGTATATTAGCACATAAGCCCTGCAACCTCAAGCTTCACTACTTCAATAAATGAAATGTATAGAGACTTCCATTTAAAACCAGATAAGTGCTTACTAAAAAAAAACAGATGATGCTTGTAATCTCTTACTGCATGCCACTGTTTTCAGTGCCCCAAGTATATATCCTATATGTGTATAAAATGATGAATGAATCTGATCTCTAAACTTGTACATCTGTCCGTGTGTCAGGTGGCTACAGCTGTGCCTGGTCCTGATGCAGTGATAGACTACAGTAAGGCCGATGCTTGGGCAGTGGGAGCTATCGCGTATGAGATTTGTGGTCAGCCTAACCCCTTCTACAGAGCCGTGGGTCTGGAGAGCCGTAAATACCACGAATACGATCTTCCCCCACTGCCCCCTACTGCCCCAGCCGAGGTGGAGCTAGTGACACGACTGTTGCTCAGAAGAAACCCACACAAGGTAATGTTAAATTTACTAGGGTGTAACGTTTCTGGTGAAGTGTACGCCACATTCTTGTCTTAACTGAGATGTTATTGCTAAAATTCGAGTGTTCCACAGTACAGTGTTAAACACTATCATTTATTTAAAAAAACAGAAAAGAAAAAAACATGCAGTCTTACTGTCTTACTACAGTCTGGTGTAAGTTTAATGCTAAACTGTAGGTGCCCTCTGTCAGAAAAGAAAACCAAAACTAAAATAGATGATTCGATTTTATAATTATTGTCAGCTGTTTATATACAGTAGCTTTTATTTGGTGAATTAAAAGGACACTATGTAACTTTTCTGGTGGAAGGTCTGCAGCCTGCTTGTCTCCATGGAGATGTTATTACTTTGTCTGGAATATTCCATAGTATGAAATAAAAATGAAGCTAAATAAAAAATGACAGTATGACATTTTTGTCTTCATTGAAATGAATTTGTTGTGTCTAAAATATGCTGAAATCATTAGCCTTTAGTGATATCTGATAAGTATTTGATATTTATTGGTCCTAAAAAGTCTTGTATGTTGTCTTTCTAGCGTCCCAGTGCCCGTGTGGCCGCGAACATGCTGCACCTGAGCCTGTGGGGGAGGAGGGCTCTGTCCGTCCAGGGCAGTGAGGCCATGAAGAGGCTGGTGGACTGGCTCCTGTGTCAGTCTGCTGTAGTTCTCCTCCGGTCCTGCAGGGGGCCTGGAGGCAGCACTGTGGAGGCAGAGCTGCAGAGGAGCTTCCTGTCTAACCTGGAGCTGGAGGAGCTGCGTACGGCGGTGGGGTTCCTCCTCTACGGACAAAACAACGAGGACCTGTGCATCATGTCGGCTTAAGTTCACTGTATCACTGCAAAGAAGAGTGTGTATTTACATGAGGAATTCATAATGTTAATCCCGATTTGAGAAGGTTCTGACTTAATACATACAACAAATAATGTGTTCTTTTGTTAGGTCTGTATTATTTGATTAGTTCCAAGGTATGTTTGACTATATTTTCTTGGAATTAGGAATATTATCTGCAAGTGAAGTAGGGTTTTTCCTTTTTTTAAAGCTACTATCTGCAAGTTTATTAGATTATTTTTTTCTACCAGCAGATGGCAGATGTGAAACCTGTCCCCCTCACCTGGCCTTTGTTCAGACTCACCTGTTCTCTCAGGTGTTCTTCTGTCAGGCCAAAACATGCCCACTGTTATCAGACTGCAGTAAAGTAGACAGCATTTTGTGTCGCTATGTGAGAAAACAACAAGGGCAGGTTGGAACGGTCAAATTACAGATGGAAGCTTTAAGTGCAACTTCTTATTTCACTGGCAAATCATTTAGTAACTTTTTTGGTGGGGGGTCCTTTACATCCTCATCTCCATGTTGATGCCATTTAGTCACTTTGTCTGGAATGTTCCACAGTATGGCATTAACTAAACTAATTATCTTACATTTACACAATTACCAGTGTTTTTTATTGCTAAGAAATGTCTCGGTGAAAATGGATAAGCTTAATCCCATATGATGGAACATAGATATAGCAGTTATCAACATTCAAATATACCAGAAAAGTTCCATAGTGCGCCTTTTATGTAAGACAAGAAAATGGTCAAAAAACCTTAGAACAAGTGAAATAATCTGGTCGTCATAAGTAATTCAATTTAAACTAGGCAAGTGGAGCCTCTTAGACTGCAGATAAACATATAATCATATAGGGAGATACTTTCACGTGTACATATTCACTGTGTGCCCTTGTTGTGAGGCAGTCTTACATCATACACTCATTTAAATCTGGATATTTAAACCACTCCTGTTAGCAGTTCTCATACACTAGCTCTGTGCAGGTAGTACTAGGAAAAACTGAAAATGCTATAAATGCATGTCTTTTTGCTCCTGTGATTTGCACTTTATCATGTCATTTGCACTTTTTGTGGCTGCTTTTATTGTTTTTGTGCTTTTCACTGGGTTCAAAACAAAAAAAACACATAAATATTTCATTTTAAATAAATGCTTGACCATAACACAGTAAGCAGGTGTATGGTGAGCGCTTTGAATCGGTGGTTTTGTTAACTTTGATTGAGAAATATTTTTGGAGAGAACGATATTTAGGTATGTTTTTAAATAAAGGCACATGAAGTAGCAGCGTCCTTTTGTGGTTTTATTACATATCCATCATTGGACTGGGATCATCTACTCCTCCCCATCCTCCTCATAGTCCTTCTCCAGAGCAGCCATGTCTTCTCTGACCTCGAAGAATCCCCATCCTTCATGCTTTCTCACACGTAAAGTTGTAAAAAAAAAAAAAACTGAGGGAATTTCTTAGCATCAAAATCAAGAAACTTTTGTATCCAGACTACCTGCTCCCACCAGTGCACAAAGGCCTCCTCTTGGTGTCTATCAGGTACTTTTGGTCATGCCCAGGGACCACGGTGAGTACACTGATTAAACCCTCTAAAATCATTTAAAAAACACAATTTTGTTTTCCCCATAGAGCTCATAAAAATACAACTATGTCTATTATTTTAATCTGTTTCACTGATGTGCATTGTGCTGAATGAGATTATCTGGTTCAGACGGGTTGAAATCAATCACATACTACTACTACTACTACTATTAAACAGTGTTGGGAAAGTTACTTTTAAAATGTATTCCCCTACAGATTACAGATTACACACCCCAAAATGTAGTTTGTAACGGAATCCATTAAATTACTTTAGGTGAGTAACGTAAATCTGAACACTTTGGATTACTTGATTTGCTGTAGAGATGCAAAGACGAGGATATCGTAAGATAAGATGTTTTGTCTGCTAAAAGAAAATAAAAAGCCCAGACTTTACTGAACCAAATTAAAAATATTATTGATAGAAGAGGAGGAGACACGGTCCACGCAGCATGATTTAGTCCTGGTTTTGTCCTGGTTTAGTCCTGGTTTTGTCCTGGTTTAGTCCTGGTTTAGTCCTGGTTTTGTCCTGGTTTAGACCTGGTTTTAGACCTGGTTTAGACCTGGTTTAGATCTAGTTTAGACCTGGTTTAGTTTTCGGCAATGAGTGGAATTACCAAAAATAAAAAAAATAAAGGAGGATATAGCCCAAAATGTGGAAAATACTGCCGTGTAATCTATTTATTTCAACTAAAGTAACTGCAATCCAATTACCACTCACTGAAACAGTAACTGTAACTGAATACAGTTACTCATAATTTGTACTCTGATTACGTAACTCCAGTACATGTAATCTGTTACTCCCCAACACTGACAGTGTTGGGAAGGTGACTTTTAAAATGTATTCCCCTACAGATTACAGATTACATTCCTCAAAATGTAGTTTGTAACGTAATCCATTAAATTACTTAAATTGAGTAACGTAATCTGAATACTTTGGATTACTTGGTTTGCGTTGTCTGCTAAAAGAAATGAAAAGCCCAGACTTTACTGAACCGTATTAAAAATATTATTGATAGAAGAGGAGGAAACATGGTCTGCACAGCATGATTTAGTCCTGTTAAATCCTGTTTTAGTCCTGGTTTAGTCCTGGTTTTAGACCTGGTTTAAACCTGGTTTTAGTCCTGGTTTAGACCTAGTTTAGACCTGGTTTAGACCTGGTTTAGACCTTGTTTTAGACCTGGGTTTAGACCTGGTTTAGACCTGGTTTAGACCTGGTTTAGACCTGGTTTAGACCTAGTTTAGACCTGGTTTAGACCTAGTTTAGACCTGGTTTTAGACCTAGTTTAGACCTGGTTTTTAGTTTAGACCTGGTTTAGACCTGGTTTAGACCTTAGTTTAGACCTGGTTTTTAGACCTGGACCTGGTTTAGACCTGGTTTAGACCTGGTTTAGACCTGGTTTAGACCTAGTTTAGACCTGGTTTTAGACCTGGTTTAGACCTGGTTTAGACCTGGTTTAGACCTGGTTTTAGACCTGGTTTAGACCTGGTTTAGACCTGGTTTAGAAAAAAAAAAAGGTTTTAGCCCAAAAGTGAAAACAGGAAAATACCTCCGTGTAATCCATGTATTTCAACAAAGTAACTGTAATCCAATTACCACTCACTGAAACAGTAAACGTAACTGAATACAGATACTCATAATTTGTACTCTGATTACGTAACTCTGGTACATGTAATATTGTAATACCTACCAGATTCCCACTGTGCCATTCAAAGAGACAGTATTTTGCAATTTTCTGTTCTATTATAATGTTGTTTCCGCATCAAAAACATGCCTGAAGTTGTGTTTTGCTTCATTTAACACACACACGTTTAACAATCCGAGTCATTTTTCCGTAATATCATCTGCTCCTGTAATCACCAGTTTAACGCATGCGCTCACGTCTGCCCTGGATCATATTTGACAGACTGAACTCTCCAAGCATGTCGTCCGTGCTCAGGAACTTCGCTTCACTTTATGGCGCGGTCCCGTCCTGTTTTGCACGATCTCTGAAGACTCGAACATGGGTTTTGAGCAGCGATTTACGCACACAGGCTTCGTGCGTAAACCCGAGGAGAAAGTGCTCGGGAAGCCGCTTCAACGTGCCCCCGAGTGCAGAGTTCGTGGCGCGCGTGTCCGGTATCCCGACCATGGCCAAGCTGCCGTACCAGGAGACGGCGGAGGGGCTGCAGGCGGCGTTTGTGGGAGTCCCGATCGATACAGGAACTTCCAACAGACCCGGGGCAAGGTGCTGTTTACTCTGAAGTTTTAGTAACATTTGGTTTTAGCTGGAGAGCAGTTATTACGCCTGTAGCCTGCTGTGAAACGTGTACAAACGGTAAAATATTAAACTATATACAGCATACAGTGAAGGAAATAACTAAGTATATGATCCACTGCTGATTTTGTAGGTTTGCCCACTGACAAAGAAATGAACGGTCTATATTTTTAAAGGTAGATTTATTTTAAAGTGAGTGATAGAATATCAAAAATAAAATCCAGAAAATCAATATATTAATTAATTTGCATTTCATTGTTTGAAATAAATATTTGATCCCCTACTGAACATTAAGAGTTCTGGCTCCCACACTCCTAAGCAACTCGTTACAAGGGCTGGGTATCATTACAAAGTTGCCGATACGATACATACCTCAGTATGATGGCCATGATATGATACTTTATCTAGATACAGTGTGTTTTTGATTCGATTTGATTCAATATATATTTCAAAACAATTTGATACGGTTCAATAAAAAAACAAAGGTTAAATCGTGACTGTGATACTAAAAGCCTTTGTTAAACCACTTCTTGTGCAAAGTTCATATGAAACACGCCCATTTTAGTCATCAAAACTGATGAAAATGTCAAATGTGTCACATAAACAAGTGTCAGTCCTCTAAACTAAACAAAACTGTAGCTGTAACTAAATAATTTAGTAAAATATACCAAAAAATACTCTCGGTGATATATCAATACAGCAGTCCACGATATCGATACTGTATCATCACATTACATAATATGATATATCGATATTTAGATATTTTTGCACACCTCTACTTGTCACCTGTCACACCTGTCCACAGAATCTGTCAATCCATCTGACTCCAAACTCTCCAACATGAGAAAGACCAAAGAGCTGTCAGAGGACGAACGGGCTACAAAACCATGAACAAGAAGATGGTGTTAACAAGACAACTGTTGCAATAGTTTGGAAATTTAAGAACTACAAAATGACCATCAGTCAATCTCGGTCTGGGGCTTCACACAAGATTTCACCTTGTTGGGTTTCAGTGATCATGAGAACAGTGACAAATCAGCCTAGAACTACACAGGAGGAGCTGAACAACGATCTGAAGGCAGCAGGGACCACAGTCACTAAGAAAACCACAGGGAACACTTTACACCACACTGATGTAGAGTGAGATTGGGAGAAGGTGCTGTGGTCAGATGAGCCTAAAATTGTGCTCTTTGGCATGAATTCAACTCACCATGTTTAGAGGAAGAGAAATGCTGCCTATGACCCCAAGAACACCATCCCCACCTTCAAGCATGGAGGTGGACACATTCTGTTTTGGGTTTTTTTTCTGCCAAGGGCACAAGACAACTTCACCGCATCAGCGGGAGGATGGACGGAGCCATGTACCGTTAAAATCCTGAGTGAAAACCTCTGTCCCTCTGCTAGGAAACTGAAAATAGTCATGGATGGGTCTTCAAATATAACAATGACCCAAAACATACAACCAAGACAACAAAGGAGTGGCTCAAGAACAAGCACATTAAGGTCATGGAGTGGCCCAGCCAGTCTCCCAGCCAGTCCTTAACCCTGTAGAAAACCTGCAAAGAAGAGTGGACCAAAAACCTTCTGATATGGACGCAAACTTGGTCATCAACTGCAAGAAACCTCTGACCTCTGTGCTGCAAACAAGGGTTCGGCCACAAAGTATGAAATCTTTTTTGGCTCAAGGGATCAAATACTTATGTCACTCAATGAAATGCAAATCTGTTTACATATTTTCTTTAAAGTTATTTTCTGGATTTTCTTTTTGATCTTCTATCTGTCAATGTGAAATTAAACCTACCATTAAAATTACTGACCTTTCATTTCTTTGTCAGTGGACAAACCTACAAAATCAACAAGGGATCAAATACTTATTTCCTTCACTGAACATGTTTTGCTCAGTAAATAAATTATAAA